CAAGTAAATATTTTTTAATTATGACTTAAAAAGCAACGTTTATCAAGGTCCTATAGATTTTTTTTTAAATCTACCCTGGAACCTGGAAAATATATTTTTAATTCTTGCTTAATAATACATGCTTATCAGGGACCGCTAAAAAAATTTTCTTTAAATCTTCGCATATCATGGACCTCTAGATATTTTTTAATCCACGCCTTCAAGGATCCTAGAAAATATTCTTTTTTAATTCAGTCTTAATAAGCCATGCATGCCAAGGAGCTCTAGAAAATATTGATTTAAAACTCCACGCCAATCAAGAACCCTGGAAAATCTTTTTTTTTAACCCCCAACTCCAATTTAAAAATCCAAGGACGCAGCAAAAAATATTTTTTTAAAAATCCTCGCCTATCAAGGAAAATATTTTTTTTTAAAATCCACTCCTATCAAGGACGCAGTAAAATATTTTTTTAAAAATCCTCGCCTATCAAGGAAGCAGGAAAATATAAATATTTTTTCCCAAATCCTCGCCTATCAAGGACGCAGGAAAATATATTTTTTCAAATCCTCGCCTGTCAAGGAAAATATTTTTTAAAAATCCACGCCTATCAAGGATGCAGGAAAATATATTTTTTTCAAATCCTCGCCTATCAAGGAAAATAGTTTTGAAAAATCCTTGCCTATCAAATCCACGCCTATCAAGGAAATATTTTTTAAAAATCCACGCCTATCAAGGACGCAGGAAAACATTTTTTTTCAAATCCTCGCCTATCAAGGAAAATATTTTTTAAAAATCCACGCCAATCAAGGATGCAGGAAAATATTTTTTTTTTCAAATCCTCGCCTATCAAGGAAAATATTTTTTAAAAATCCACGCCTATCAAGGATGCAGGAAAATATTTTTTTTTCAAATCCTCACCTATCAAGGACGCAGGAAAATATATTTTTTTCAAATCCTCGCCTATCAAGGAAAACATTTTGTTTAAAAATCCACGCCTATGAAGGACGCAGGAAAATATATTTTTTCAAATCCTCGCCTATCAAGGAAAATATTTTTTTTTAAATCCACGCCTATCAAGGACGCAGTAAAATATATTTTTTTCAAATCCTCGCCTATAAAAGAAAATATTTTTTTTAAAATCCACGCCTATTAAGGACCATGGGAAATATTTGTTCAAAAATCCACGACTATCAAGGAAAATATTTTTTTAAAATCCACGCCTATCAAGGATGCAGGAAAATATATTTTTTTCAAATCCTCGCCTACCAAGAAAAATATTTTCTAAAAATCCACACCTATTAAGGACCATGGAAAATAATTTTTTAAAAATCCACAACTATTAAGGACCCTGGAAAAAATAAAAGAATCACATTTATCAAGGACCCTTATTTTTTTTACAAATCTACTGATAAGCGTAGACAGGCCTATCAGGGACCCTATTTAATATGTTTTAATTGTGACTTAAAATCCACGCTTAAGGACCTCAAATTTTTTTACAAATCTACGCTATAGATAAAATTTTTTAATAAAGGACTCCACACCAAACAAGGACTCTGGAAATATATTTTTAAAACTCCACGCCAATCAAGGACCCTTGACAAAATATTTTTTTTTTAATTCACGACTTTTAAGGGCTATGGGAAATTTTTTTGTTAATAATTTCAAGCCTATTAGGGACCAAATCATATTTTTATTTTAAATCCAATCCGATGGATTTTTAAAATAACATGCGGAATAGTAAAACATATTACATTATATTAAAAATCCATTATCCGACCCTCTGAATATTAAAACCATCCCCAATTGTATTTTTTGGGGGAGACTTTAATTAAATTACAACAACAACTAAACGTTTGTAATTATCAAAAAAGCCACAAAAAAGTCCTGGCTGGATTGCAAACAAATTTAAAGGATCGACTTCCAGCTGTTCAGTTGGGCGCCACACTAAACAACCCTCCCTCCGAATAAATACAAATAAGTTAATTTAAAAATATCTACCCTCAACGAAGTTTTTTTTTGGCGTGCTGAAAATTTCAATTAAAACCCTACCATGTGGACCACCTAGTGGTTTCCATGGGGAAAAACAAAAATGTCATCAACCATAATCAAGAGAACTTTTTTTTACATTTCAGGTAGTACTGATATAAGTTCAACAATAGACCTTATGTGGCGGATGGGATGTTGATATGACAGGCATACGGAAATCTCATTTAATCCAGTTAGCAATGAACATGGAAGTGTGTATATGCGGAACATTACAACAAATGTGGGGAGAGCTTAACTAAGCCAGGGTGGTCTTTCATTCAATTCCCGCCCAACACACACACATAAACAGAAACACACCCACACATTTATTATGCACAAACCTCATTGGCATTTCAAATTTTGTGGATTTTTAAACAGTACCCCGCAGCACCCCCAAAAACCCTAAATACTCACTTGTAAATGCTTTGTGTGGTCACATCACTCCAAAAGATCATTCCCGTGCGGAAAACGAAATCCAAAGCTGTCGCTGATTTTGTATTATTCACAATCGATGTCATTTCCATGTGATCCAAAGCAATTTTCCGTATATCATGACGACGTGCCAACAGCAATGAGGCATGACCCTCGGTGGCCTTACAACGGGTGTGATTGCGTGGGTCACGCATATACCCATCGATACATTCACATTTATAGCCGCCAATTTCATTAATGCAGACTTGGGAACAGGCACCGGGATTTTCGGCGCACTCGTCGATGTCCACACAGGTTTTGTTGTTAATTAATTTATAGCTGCAAAACAAGAGAGAGAGAGAAATGGGTAAACAGGGAGCAAAATAAAGTTAGGTAATTTGTATGTGGTTTTTCTACAATTTAACAATTTAATTCAGCTCAGCTGAATATGTTTTCCCAAAAGAAAATCTGTCATTCAACTACGATGAATGGGGTTTCCAATGGGAAATCTTCAATTCAGCCTGGCTGAATAGTGATTTCTATAGAAAATCTTCAATGCAGCCTGGCTGAATAGTGATTTTTATAGAAAATCTTCAATTCAGCCTGGCTGAATAGTGATTTCTATAGGAAATCTTCAATTCAGCCTGGCTGAATAGTGATTTCTATAGGAAATATTCAATTCAGCCTGGCTGAATAGTGATTTCTATAGGAAATCTTCAATTCAGCCTGGCTGAATAGTGATTTCTATAGGAAATCTTCAATTCAGCCTGGCTGAATAGTGATTTCTATAGGAAATCTTCAATTCAGCCTGGCTGAATAGTGATTTCTATAGGAAATCTTCAATTCAGCCTGGCTGAATAGTGATTTCTATAGGAAATCTTCAATTCAGCCTGGCTGAATAGTGATTTCTATAGGAAATCTTCAATTCAGCCTGGCTGAATAGTTATTTCTATAGGAAATCTTCAATTCAGCCTGGCTGAATAGTGATTTCTATAGGAAATCTTCAATTCAGCCTGGCTGAATAGTGATTTCTATAGGAAATCTTCAATTCAGCCTGGCTGAATAGTGATTTCTATAGGAAATCTTCAATTCAGCCTGGCTGAATAGTGATTTCTATAGGAAATCTTCAATTCAGCCTGGCTGAATATTGATTTCTATAGGAAATCTTCAATTCAGCCTGGCTGAATAGTGATTTCTATAGGAAATCTTCAATTCAGCATGGCTGAATAGTGATTTCTATAGGAAATCTTCAATTCAGCCTGGCTGAATAGTGATTTCTATAGGAAATCTTCAATTCAGCCTGGCTGAATAGTGATTTTTATAGGAAATCTTCAATTCAGCCTGGCTGAATAGTGATTTCTATAGGAAATCTTCAATTCAGCCTGGCTGAATAGTGATTTCCATAGGAAATCTTCAATTCAGCCTGGCTGAATAGTGATTTCCATAGGAAATCTTCAATTCAGCCTGGCTGAATAGTGATTTCTATAGGAAATCTTCAATTCAGCCTGGCTGAATAGTGATTTCTATAGGAAATCTTCAATTCAGCCTGGCTGAATAGTGATTTCTATAGGAAATCTTCAATTCAGCCTGGCTGAATAGTGATTTCTATAGGAAATCTTCAATTCAGCCTGGCTGAATAGTGATTTCTATAGGAAATCTTCAATTCAGCCTGGCTGAATAGTGATTTCCATAGGAAATCTTCAATTCAGCCTGGCTGAATAGTGATTTCTATAGGAAATCTTCAATTCAGCCTGGCTGAATAGTGATTTCTATAGGAAATCTTCAATTCAGCCTGGCTGAATAGTGATTTCTATAGGAAATCTTCAATTCAGCCTGGCTGAATAGTGATTTCGATAGGGAATCTTCAACTCAGCCTTGCTGAATAGTGATTTCTATAGGAAATCTTCAATTCAGCCTTGCTGAATAGTGATTTCTATAGGAAATCTTCAATTCAGCCTGGCTGAATAGAGATTTCTATAGGAAATCTTCAATTCAGCTTGGCGGAATAGAGATTTCTATAGGAAATCTGCAATTTAGCCCGGCTGAATAGAGATTTCTATAGTAAATTTTCAATTTAGCCCGGCTGAATTATATTTCCCATGGACATTTTTCAATTGGCTGAATATGGGTTTTTTTGTTTCTCTTACCCCGTTTCGCATTCACATCGATAGCCAATCGGTTGATCCACACACTTATGCATACAGCCACCATTGTCCAGGGCACACTCATTAATACCACACATATTGGCCGGTTCATCTTCACCATCGGGGCAATCCTTGCGTTTGTCACAAACCTTGGTCAAAGGAATACATTGTCCACCACCACAATCGAAGTGCGTTACTGGATCGCATACGGTTTGCTTACGAATGCCTGCAGCAAACGAATACCACCCAAAAACAAAACCAATAATAGAAAGGAAATTAGAATTTGATGTAATTTCCTTAAGCTATACGAAGAAGGAGAAAAAAGAATTTGAATCTGGACTTACCGCAATTAAGCTCATCACTTTTGTCGGCACAATCATTTTGTCCATTACATGTCAGATGACCAGCAATGCAGGAGCGATCGCTGCACTGGAATTGATCGGGACGACATGTACGATTTTTACAATTACTTTGGACCTCATCATCGCCATCGGGACAGTCACGTTCGCCGTCGCACAACCAGCTGGAATGTAGACAGGTAATGCGATCCTTACATTGGAATTCGTGGGGCAGGCAGGGTACCTTGGTGTTGGTTACATTTTTACAACCCTGCAAAATGGGGGAAAGAAATCAAATGATGAGTAAATATAGGAAAACAATTGTTAAGCTATCCTGATTTAAAGGGGATGATAAATTGGTTTGGATCTGAGTCGTTTTGGTACACTACAATCCAAAAAAACAAAAAAAAAAAAATCCATTATGACAAAAATTCCTCTCAATCAAACCATTTGAATACCAAACCTGTATCAATTCCCAAAACTCTGCGGAAAACAAAAACATATCCAACCAGCATCCGGAATTTAAAACTTCAACTCCAAAAAAATGAAACAGAAAAAGTTTTCCACTGCATTGATGAGCCACAAAAGTCCGCAAGTAATCTAAGCAATCAACATGTTCATCTGCCGGCCGACCGTCCGTCCGGCCACTCACTTCGATTCATTGAAAAAACATTTCATTTGTTATGGTCTTGAGCTGAATGGTCTTGAAACTGCTGTTCCATGGTTTTGTTGCAACAACTTTGGGGATTAATTACAACTTGAATTAAAACTGGTCGGGATGACCGCTTTATTTTTTCTCCTCTTTACTAAAAATTCCGATCCCATCAATGCCAAAGTTGAGTCTTTTGTCGCAAAGGCAAAGAAAAGCAATACAATGTAACAGGAGATGTGATATGAGACTTGAGGAAGCGCTTTAAGCCACTGAGGGTTCTTCTTGACGAAAGAAATCTTTGTAAATCTTCAATTCGGCCAGACCGAATAAGAATTTCTATAGAAAAATGCCTGGCTGAATAGTGATTTCCATAGGAAATCTTCAATTCAGCCTGGCTGCATAGTGATTTCCATAGGAAATCTTCAATTCAGCCTGGCCGAATAGTGATTTCCATAGGAAATCTTCAATTCAGCCTGGCTGAATAGTGATTTCCATAGGAAATCTTCAATTCAGCCTGGCTGAATAGTGATTTCCATAGGAAATCTTCAATTCAGCCTGGCTGAATAGTGATTTCCATAGGAAATCTTCAATTCAGCCTGGCTGAATAGTGATTTCCATAGGAAATCTTCAATTCAGCCTGGCTGAATAGTGATTTCCATAGGAAATCTTCAATTCAGCCTGGCTGAATAGTGATTTCCATAGGAAATCTTCAATTCAGCCTGGCTGAATAGTGATTTCCATAGGAAATCTTCAATTCAGCCTGGCTGAATAGTGATTTCCATAGGAAATCTTCAATTCAGCCTGGCTGAATAGTGATTTCCATAGGAAATCTTCAATTCAGCCTGGCTGAATAGTGATTTCTATAGGAAATCTGCAATTCAGCCTGGTTGAATAGTGATTTCTATAGGAAATCTTCAATTCAGCCTGGCTGAATAGTGATTTCTATATTAAATCTTCAATTCAGCCTGGCTGAATAGTGATTTCTATAGAAAATCATCAATTCAGCCTTGCTGAATAGTGATTTCTATAGGAAATCTTCAATTCAGCCTGGCTGAATAGTGATTTCTATAGGAAATCTTCAATTTAGCCTGGCTGAATAGTGATTTCTATAGGAAATCTTCAATTCAGCCTGGCTGAATAGTGATTTCTATAACAGAATAGGGCGTAGGAAATTCATATAGAGATTAAAGCTGAGGTAATCGTCACAGATAAGGTGAAGTTCTGTAGGACCATATAGATGAGCTGAATTTCAGGAAGTATTTATAGAGCTGTAGCTAAGGAAGTTTCTCTGGACGATCTGAAGTTCAGGAAGTCCTTATAGACGCTAAAGTCCAGGTAGTCGTCATAGGCGAGATGAAATGCTATATATCTTTATAGACCAAGAAGTTTTCATAGATGAAATGAAGCCGGTCTGAAGGTCTGGCATTTTCTACATCGCTTCGGAAGATCAAAGAGTTTTTTAGAATAGCTAAGAGACTAGGAGAGCTTTCAGAGTAACTATTTTGTATTTTGTAGGTAAGAATGTGCATGGGAAAGCTAAAAATCCGAGGAATATTTACAGCTGAGCTGCAGAGTCAGGGAGTCTTACGGGAAAGGAGTTTTTGTGGATATATTTCTAGGAGTTTTTATAGCCCTTTAGGAAGTCAAAGAGCATATTGAGACTAGGCTATTCAGCCAGGCTGAGAGTCCAAAGAAGAAGAGCAGAGTGAAAAGGTAGTGTTTGTGGGTGAGTTGAAGGAGTTTGAGAATTTCTATAACTGAGCTGTAGCCCACGAAGTTTCTATAGATGAGCTGCGGGTTCGTTGTATCCCTATAAATTATCCAAATGGTCAGATAGCATCATTAGATGAGCTTTTGGACCAGAGAATTTATACCGGCGATCTGTAGAAATTAACTGGGCCACAAGAATTTAGATGGACGTGCTAGCCGGTCGGACATGGGAGACTATATAGACAAGCTAAAGGTTCAAACGAGCTATTGGTCTACGTGGCCACTAAGTCTATTTCTTACGGGTCAGTGAATATATTTCTGTGGAGAAGCTGACCGGCTAGACTGTTTAGTGACATGCAGGCGAGTCAGGGTGCGTAAATACGAACTGAAGGCAGGTTAGTATGCCTATATTGCTTGAGTATAGGCCAGTAGAATTGGGCAATTTCATTTATAATGTGATTTGTTCTCTTTCGGTTCGCTCCAAAAAAGGGAAAGTCGTTCATTGGTAGCTCAGTTAATTCGGTCAATAAGCGTACATGCAAAAAGGAATGATTAGAAAAAAAGTAAATTATGGACGAAAGAATCGGACCTAATATCGACCACTGCATTCCGGAACAAACCAACTCTACAAGTCAGGTCTCTCATTATTACATACTAAACCCGAAGTCGAATATACCTTCCCTTTGCCAAATACGATTCAATTTACTTTCATTGGCGTGTCAACTAAACTTCTTTAAATTGGGAAGTTCGCTTTGTTTTCTATTTCCCAGAATTCGATCCCGTTATTCACCCTTTTATTGTTTTGTCTAGAAACACTTTCGGTCAGTGGCAGTTTAAAATAGCCGCCATTCGGTATTGTGTCCTGATTCACATTTTACAAGACTTTGACAGCATTGACAGGCTGTAAGGAGGTCGGTCGGATGGTTGGCTGCCAGGCACCTAGACATTGGCCGTTAACTTAGTTCTGTTTTGTCTAAAACATTGTGTTTTACTATAATTTTCTCACATTCACACTTCGCCTCGGTGTCCTTTGGATGAAGTATTTCCTAGAATTTAGTTTTTTCTTCTCCTTTTGCTTTCTCTCTCCCTGTGTTTTTGTTTTTTTTCTTCCTCCCAAATTGATTCACACAAATGATTGTCCATTGCAGTAGAAATTACAGTTAATTTGTTTTGAGATGAACATAGCATAGCGGGCTAAGTAGGATGCGTGTTTTCCTCAGAAAAATAATGTGGGGGAATAGAAGGGAAATTGAGGAAAGTACCGAAGGGAACTTGAACTGCAATACGAGAGATATTTATATTAAATTATTTGAAGCCCATATCCTTATATAGACCTCTATTAGAAATTCGAAGTCTAAAAAATTCCACGGTATGGGTACAAGGATGGCAGTTTTTCTGTTCCCTATTAGTTTACCTTTTTTTTGCGGAATTTGCTATACCTTAGTGACTTATATAGAGCTAATAAAAAAATATTCCGACTGAAAAAGATGTAATCAAACACTACACCGATTTTAAATTGAAAAATTCTTCATACCACCCTGAAACATCAAAACAAGTGTTCTTGTTCCCATTTAAGCAAAAAAGGACGAAAAAAACGAATTCTCCTCTGATACCCTCATATATTGCTTTGGTTTAGCCATCTCAAATACCACACGAACTACATACACAACACATGTAGTATTCCGCACACACTCACCCAATATCATATTCATTTCCCTGGAAGCCTTTGCCGAGGAAGCAAAAAGAGCCTCTGGGAAATGTCCAATAAAACAATCTTCACTATGACGTTACTGGCCTCATATCCTCGTCCTGCCAAGCTAGCAACCAAACTATAGCATTGCCAATTCTTTTCATACGAATTCAAATATCCCAAAAGCATTGAACATAAAGTGTTCCTTTTTGTTGTTGTTGCAATTTCCTTGCTTTATTTTGTCGGAAAAAACTGAGTTTATAAAATAATCAGAAAAAAATGAAAAAAAAAATCGGGATGATGGTTGCAGATTTTTGTTCTTTCAAGGCTAGTTATAAGTGAAGGAAATGCTAAATATTTATATGAAAAAATTGGAGAATGGAGAGTTAGAAATATTTTCAAAATTGGAAGACCATAGTTAGCTTCCTCGCCTCATCTTGGCTCTCTTTTCCATTGAGAATACCTGGAAAGGAAACCCAATACCAAAAGACAAGTATAATCCTTGGATGCTAGGGAGTTTTTATAGATAAACTGAAGGATCAGAAGTCTTTGTCTATGGGATTTTTATGGACATTTTACAAGCGAACTGATGTTCCAGCAATTTTTTTCGACCATCTTAAAGTTTAGAAGGTCGGTTTGGAAGGTTTAAAACTTATAATATTCCTTACAGCTGAACGAGCTGAGGAGTCATGAGATCTATACAGAAGAGCTGAAAGGCGGGGAGTCGTGAAGAGCCAAGGAAATGAAGTAAACAAGTCCGGATAGGCGCTTTGAAAAGCCATGATATATTTTTCTAACTACTGAAGGGCCAGGCTATTTGTGTAGACAGTCTACAAATTACGAATGTGCTGAGGGGTTAAAAATAATAAATGCGCGATCACAAGGCTTAGCGGGTCATTATAGATATACTAGAGGCTGGGGTGTTCTTAAAAAAAAAAAAACGGGTGTCCTTATATATATTCACCATATGACGTGCTGAAGGAGCAGATTGTCTTTGCAGATGGGCTGAAATCTTTACCGAGGACCTGAAGCTCCGGCAAAGGCCAGGGAATCTTAAGAGTTGTGATGGAGGTTGGAGAGTCTTTATCTTAAGGAGTATTGTCTGAATAGACAATAGATCCGAGAGGCCAAGGAATATCTCTATATCTAACCGGACTGAATCACCAAGGCAAATTGAAGTAAAAAAGTCCGGATAGGCGCTTTGAAAAGCCATGACATA